ATGTATATACAAATATCTTGGGTTTAGTAGTCAATATTGGCCTTTAAGTAAAACTTTTTAAGGTTTGTTAAGTATTATTTCTAAACAAAATATAGTGATATAAACGATAAAGACAATTTACCTTAACCAATTAACATTTACCATGGAGAAAAATGTAATAACACACTACCTTTACTGATGTTTTATTCTCAGTATATACTCAGTATAATCTCAGACTGAAGTATATAGAAAAAGAACACATACCAAAGATATCTAAATTACAAACCGAATCACAACATCAATACCAAAAAGGGAATAATTAAATCCTTCTTTCCTATCTATCCTACGATAGAGCAAAAATTATTTGTTCTAACGAAAATTCGTTCTTGAACGACAAACATTTGTTAACCCTGCATCACTCGCGCCTTAAAAAATTACGCGAGAACTCGCGCGTGAGAATTTCTCTCACACGACGAACCCTTCAAGATTTTGTTCGGTGTAACTGTTTTTATTTTTTTTTATGCAAATGAAACAAAACTATTGGTAATAATAAAAGGGTTTATTTAAAATAAATGCCAAAAATAGAGTTATAAGTACATTAAAAATACTAAAAAGAAAACTTATACAATGCTAAGAACTAAAAAAAATACCCTGTATATTTTATTTTACATCTATCTTTAAATTAATGTTATCCTTAAATCAGATAAAATAAACATAATATTAATCAAAAATTTAATCATCTGAAGTACCACTATTATCGTTTACGCCAGAACACGTTGGACATGTGAAGGTGGTATGCTCCGTGCAAATGGCAACATTGCAGCTAACACATCGTTTTTTTGACTTCCTGTTCTTTCTTCTTGGACAAAATCCACAGAAATCTGGAACAGATTCTCTGTTCTGTTCAATCTGAGGCATATTTAAATATTCCCTTAGCATGCTTCGAATATTAATTGGCAAAGACCTGATCGATGAACGACGAATCAACAGAGGTTTAATCAAAGCTTCGGCCAGATGATTGAGATAAATTCTACGTTCTTCAATAACTTCGGTATTACTTTTATATACAATATTGGAATTAATAGCAGCAACGTCCAAAATTGTAAAAAAAATTCTAAGTGGCCATCGGCAACAATATCTGGAAACAGAATAAGTTGATTTTAATTCATCAACCACATCGACACCTCCTTTTGTTAGGTTATAAAATGTAATGATCTCAGGTTTTTCCAGTTCGCCAGATTCAGGATCGATGTAGTCCCCAGAATGAAATGTAGATAACATCAATACGTTTTTCTGAGGTTTGGGTTTATACGATAATAATACAGTATTCTTTCGGAAACCAAACATGCTACTAGGTACAGGTCTTTTCACATTTATAAATATTGGCGGAATTTCCCTCTTGTTTTTCCTTAGGGTACCAACAAGTGTAGTTTTCCTATCAAGTAATTGTTTGGCTAACGGCACTGACGTGAAATAATTGTCCATAGTTATATTTCTACCTGTGTTTAATATGGGATTTGCTATACGCATAACAACAGCAGATGCAGAGTTGTCTAGATAAAAAGGGCCAACTGGCTGTTTTCCTGCATATATCTCCATATTGCAGGTATAAAACATCCTTGAGTCAACTAAGGCATATATTTTAATGCCGTATTTGGCCGGCTTGTTGGCTATATATTGCCGAAATTTACATCGCCCTCTAAAGCTTTCCAACATTTCATCCACTGTACAATACTCTCCAACTTGGTAGTTTTCTTGACACTTGGACACAAACTGTTCAAATATGTTTCGAATGGGAGCCAAATTATCGTATTTTTTTCTTTCGTTTCGGTCATTGATATTGTCAAATCTTAGTGCTCTTCCTAAAATATGAAATCGTTCTCGTGACATCGTTAGTCTAAAGCAAGCAGGAGCAAATATTGAATCAGCCCAAAGTTCTTTAGTATTTAGATATTGAGCCTTTCGTACCCCAGCCATGTATAGGAGGCCGATAAAAGCATATATTTCTGTAGCGTCTGTGTCACGGCAATCTCTTTCTCTCGTATAGTTACCTCGTATTTTTGCTAGATAGATATTTGTGCATTGTACGATTTCTTCAACCATTTCTTTTGTAATATATAATTCCCAGCATGCTTCGACAGTATTTGCATCTTTTGCAATATTTTTTACTCCGGGAAGATGACTAACAATATTTTTTGTAGGCACTCTTACGTTAGGTCGTGGAGGATAAGCCATCCAGTGAGTTTTTTTGTCTTTACCAGTGAAATGATGTTTTGATGTATATGCGGGATTATCGTCAACTTCATAAACAAAATTTTCAACTTCTACATCAGATTGTTCGGAATCGGTATTATGCATACTATGTTCACTGGAAGCGTCACTTTCAACATCCACTCGTCCGCCATCTTCCATAATTTCTTGATTTTGACATTCCTCTTGCCCACTCCATGGTATGTTAGCTGACATACCTTCTCTTTGTGCCTCTTCATATCGAATTCGCCCTAATTCTGCAAGCGTCAGTCCTCTACTCATTGTTTACTATCTAAAATAACAATACCACAATAATAGAACACCTTGACCTTATTTAAAAAGCAAATAAAGTAGTTATGTATAAAAAAATCTTAAATTTACTTACCAAAACTTTATTCAACCTTAAGAAAATATACTACGTTAGAACTTGCGCGATGAGAGAAATTCTCACAGAGATCTGCACACGATCGACAAGTGCCCGATATCTATTACCAACATGCACTAAATATTGCATGCGCTCAAGCGTAACAACGAAGACCCTTAGAAACTCAGCTAGAAGTGGGGGTAGCAGTATGCGTGATTTACCGTTAATAAAATTTGCATTTTACTGGTAGGTGTGAGAGAAATACTCATAGCGCGAGTGATGCAGGGTTAACATCTGTTTTATCAAAAAAATAACTATCTTTTATCGTTTATAAATAGAGAATTTTCAACAATTGGCCGAATAGAACAGAACAACTTAGAACGAGACCCTACAGCATACACAAGGAATAATTCAATAAAAATAACAATACCATACATAAAAGGATTATCAGAAAAACTTAAAAAATATGAAATAAATTCAACATTTCAACAGCATTTAAAATATCAATGAGATATATACAATGAACAAGAAATAACAACGAATTTTATTTATAAAATACAATGCTTGTGAATGCGATTATTTTTATTTAGGTGAAGCATGAAGACCATTAAACATTAGAATAGAATAGGATAGAATTTGATGGATTTAATTGAATATAGGGTTCGAATAATGAAAAGATTTACGTACAGTACTAAACGAAATAGTTGGTAAAAGGGGAAAAATTAAAGAAACCGCTTTAATTATGCTAAATGAGTCCAATAACTGTGTCGCGAATTCCTCGGAAAATGCTGTTCCGGTTACACATATTAAAAGAGGAAGTTAATAACAGAAAAATGCCACTATTAGTAAGTCATTTATGTTTTTTAAATGAGGTACATATAAAATCAGAGTTTTGTGTTTATTGAGCGTAAACCAAATATAAAACCAAATACTTACCATGTGTGATAGTATTATGAGATTTTTTTCCTGTTTTTTTTTTCTTATGATTTACTGTATAATCAATAAGAGGAGAATGTTACTGTCGTTATGGCATGTGGTTGTCTTTTTAAAGACCAGTCACAAGCTATGATTTGTCTGACGGATATTCTTAAGTTTAAGATTGCATATAATCGAATAAATTATCTTACAATAAAGTCGTCCCAGGAATGCAACTCAGCAATATTGACAATATCACTTGAAATGCAATAATTCAATTCAATTCAATAATTCAATTATTAGAAGAATTTTTTACCAAGTAACAAAAAACAAATTTGTTTAAATTATTAATGTTTGTATTTTAAGAACGATTTCTGTACTGGATATTAAAACGTCAATAAACTTTAAACTTTAATTGTTTTATTCTTAATTTTTATTTTCTGTTTAATTTTTGTGCCCACGAAGGTATTCGTTTTCTTTTCTTTTTTTGGTTGTTTTGCTAGCGCCACACACTTTTTTAGCAGAACTGGTAAGAATTGCTTTTACGCAACCCCTAAATCGCAACTACTACCCCGCTCGTAAATGCCAAAGTTTACATTTCACGTAAAAAGGTCAGGGTTTTATGTCAAAACATCACGTGTCATGTCAAAACGTCATGTTTTCTCGTCAAAATGTGTCCGTGACGTTTTGGCGTGACGCATGGCGTGCTGACGCGTGACGTTTTGACGTGACGCGTAACGTTTTGACGAGACGTGTGACCTTTTCATTTGAAAACGTGACATTTTAAAGTGAAATGAGATATTTAGCATTTACGACCAGGGGTAGGGGTTGCAATTTAGAGTTTGCTCCATAACATACGCTCCTCATCTACTTAGGTATCCCATATTTGTATCGTTTTGTTATCATCCTTAATTTTCTCCAATATAATGTTCAGTTTCACAACCCCTTCGTAATTCTTGGCTATTTTTTTTTGGTTTATCATATTTAATACTCTCAAATTAAGTGATCTTCAGTATCTTTTTCTTTGGTACTTTTTTTACTTTTATCTTCACTAAAAACAAGTAGTGGGCACCTCCTATCTCTGACCCTTTTCTAATTATCACATTGTATAGTTAACTTTTTGTTCTGATCAGTATATAATGGGTTAATATATAATTGATTTTTCTCCTCTACTCGGTTTACGACTATACTCTACTAGATGTGAGTGTATTCCTTTTTGATGATACTATGATGATATCATATTTGTTACAATAAAGTTATGCATTAGGCAGTATTTTAATAGTATTCTTTCAATATTATTTAACACTATAAACTGTATTTAGCTAATACTGATAAAAGTTAATCTACTTTTGATTAAAATCCTCCAGTACTTTGTTGAATTCCTTTTTGACTTGTGACAATTTTTCTCAGATTCTTATTGTCTTCTTGTAGTCTTTTGTCTTCATTGGAAACATTGTTACAATTACACACTTTTGTCCTCTTTGATGGCTTTTCATTTATATAGTTTGTTCTTCATATATCTGTTTACTGTACGCCTGGCTGGTGCTCGTTTTTTCATTTTTACTCTACTGTAAATCTGGATACGGCTATTATCCAATTTGACCACTCCCTGCTCATTATTTTTTGATTCTAGTATCGCCAATATATCCAATTTTATCGTTTTAAATTCTGATAACAATTCCTTTTCTTTTTCTTCATTACTTCTATCGTTCCATGCTCCCAATTTACACATATCACTCTTCTCACTAGTTTTATCATTAATTTTTCGTACATATATTTCTTTTTATTTTTCTTTTTTAAATTATCTTTAGTTATTTTTTGATGATTTACTGGACTGGTTGATTCGCTCCTTTAGTGTTCCTTTTTTTGTACTACGTCTCCCTTCATTGTTTCCTATTTACAACTTTCTGTATTTAAATTTTACTATTATCTCATTTTTTTCCTTAGTTCGCAATCTTCTCTGTCTTTGGAATTCTCATTTCTCATACATACTACGTTCGAATTACTCTTCACGCTGAATTTATACACATTTTTTAATAATGCAAAGTATGTTTGTGGCATCCATTTTATTCCAAACATTGATTATCTAAATAATATTTATATAGTATTTCGTTAATTAAAATTAAGCGCTCTTTTGCTTTTAAAGCCACAAAAATCAATTTTCCATTTTGAACTTTACTAGCTCGTGCTAATATTGAAAAATCTATTTATTCATTAATCTGTAAACATGTGTCTAAATCCACTCTGAACTTTGAAATCTTGGAACAAAAAGTCACACAAAAATATACGGCTTTATATAAAGAACTTAAGGTCAGACTTTAAATAACGCCTTCCTGGCATTAAAAGTTTTATCTAGAGATACAAAATGATGTTTTTTCTTTTTTCCATTGTGCATTTTTCTGGTTTAAGCTTTAATTACAATTTTTTGTATCTGCTGCACTTACTCTGATCATTTGACTTAGCATGAGATATATGGGTTTAAAAAACGTTTGTGGTTATAAAAAACTTTTTAATTTAAAACGAATAGCAGTCACTCTGCCATTAGTTAAAGTAGTTATATAAAACACAGATATGCAACAGAAAAATAATTTTTCCTAAATATATATATATATATATATATAATATATATATATTCTTGAGTTTAGGTTCAATAAATTATATTACATGTGGAACTAGACTTTCCCATAGAAATTACCGTTTCGGCAGGAAACCCTTGCCTTTGTCAAAATTCTAAAATATGTACGATTAAGAATAAACAGTTATTGTAAAGTATTTATATATATTACTATGATCTGCTTTTTCTTACTTTTTATTTATTTAATTACTTTAATTAATTATTCAATTAATTATCTAAGTGTCGCAAATCATACATAAAAAAACAATTTTAGGGTGCCATCTTATAAAAAAAAATAAATCAGCTTAGGTTATACTTATATTTTCTCGTGGCTTCCAGTATCTTTTAGTTGTTTCTTCTCGGGATAAAATAGGAAAAGAAAATAAATAGAAGTACCATAAGTAAACAAACATAAATATCTTTTATTATCAAAAGAAATAATATAAACATTTATCAAATAAATTCCATGGGCTTAACTGTCCCAATGAAAATTGTACCACCTAAATCATTTTAATTTACAAAATATTTATCGGTTTGTTTTTTATAACATTAATAAAATAACATAAACAAGAAATTTGGATATTCGTAAATTAATTACACTTCCTATGAAAATTTTGAAATATTGAAATCTTAGTTCATATATTTTTGTACTCAAAAAAAAATATAAAATGAAACTTTTTAAATTTATTAAGCAATATTAATAATTATCCTTTTCCGTTAAAAATAAACTTTATAAAATTCATGGTATTTTAAAATATAATAGCAATAATTTTTGTTCTTCTGATGGTATAGAGTATTTTATTTGAAACAAAAAATTCTGTCACAAAAATTATTGACTGACCTTTTAATTCACACACGACGATGTCTCCTTTCGACAAGAACAGCTCCCCCTTGTTGATTATGTTAGGCTACCAATCAAAGTCATCTCCGTTATAAGTATCAACCTATCAGCATACCAGCAACTCTTTGTCCAAAAACCCGAGCAGGCCTCTTTTACCAGTACTCGTTCAACAAACTCCAGAATTATCTCCCTCTTTCATATACTAACAATCTCCTGAGACCCAAGTAAATTATTTTTTACTTGGTGTCGCAAATATTTTTAATAGTTATAACTCTTGTGATTTATTCACTTGGACTTTATAGAATCCAGGAGGTATTCGACTTCTCAACTTTGACCTATCTCTCGTTCCACCTATCAGCCACTCACTTCTAACTGTCGACACAACTGACACTTTCTTCTTAACAGACTACACAACTGCTTCTTTTGGATGACCATCACATAATAATCTTTTCTGTTCCAATATAATAATAAAAAATCTTGAATGTGTTGCTTGTGTGCGTCCATTTCAAATAGGTAAAAGAAATAATAAATAAAACTTAATCAGAATCAATTTAATTTAACTATCCAGACGACCGGTTTCGCTTTCTACAATATGCAAAGCATCTTCAGGTCTCGATACAAAGTTAAATAAATGCTGAAATAATAAACCGATATTAGGGTGTTGTCTAATAGAGATAAAAAAAGATAGATGATATAAATTAGAGTAATTATGCCAATATTACATGTCTGTGGTTTTTCAACATGAATAAAAAGTTTTAGCAGAAAAGGTAGGACCCACAAATTGGTATAAAATAGTCTATTCAATTGTAATAAATTAATAAATGAATAAATAAATACAACATTACTAACATGCCGGTACTCTAGTAATTGATGGTTGGAAGAACATTTTTCAAACTATCCTGTATTGTTAAATGGAGAACTTAAGTCTGCTATTGTAATTGTTTGACAATAAACGGGAAGTTCTTGAAGACATAGATTTTATCTAATGAAGTAAATATAGATGTAACGTGATTGTTTGTTGGATGAAAGTGATGTTCTATACCATTGAATTATTTAAAAGATATTTATAATTTATTCAAGAGATATATTTATGAAACGTGTGTTATTTATTGAGATTTTATATAATGAATGTGACAGTTGTATGACAATGAATGAGATTAGATGTACAAATTGTGTGGGTGTGCAATTCTTTCAACTTGTAATTATCAAATTTCTTTGATAAAGTTCTATTGGCATATATGGCCAATTATTGCAAAGTCAAGTATATAAAATTAATAAAGTTTAAAGAATTAAGAACACACACAGAAAACACTTAAGAGGGATGAAACAAACATTAAATTTAAAAAGGGGGAAGGACTTGAATGCACTACATCTCTGAATTGGAGACAATGAGTTCTTATGTTATCTATTAGATTTTAGAGGTAAATTTGACAAATGTAGGTTAAACTGTGACAGTTCTTCTTCTATTTCTAAATACTGGAAGTTAAGTTATCCAGTTTTATGAAATAAGCTGATATTATTGAATGTCTCTAAAATTTTTTTAATTTAGATATTAAAAGTAATTTCATGTGCTTAATATTAGCATACTTTAACAATCATTAAATAGTTAAATTTAAATGTAACAATATTAATAATTGAAATACATCCTCTATTATAACTAACTCAATTAAGTCAAAATTACAGAACAAACTTAAGTGATTATTTGGTACAATAATACAATTAAACATGTACATTTGTAATCAAAATGTATAACAAAATTACAAAAATTATTTGAAAATTGTTGTTGATGTGAGTTATCTGTCATGGTGTGTATAAATATTTTTAAATATTTTATTCTAGTTCTGATATGTTAATATGGAACTAAAGTAATAAGTAGATAAATTGTTGATGGTAAATTAATTTATAAATTCAAGAAATTGACTGAATTATTAAGCCTTCAATAATTAGTCAGTAATTCTAATATCTGACAGTTGGGACCAGAAATTGATTATACCAATAGGTAAACGGTACTCTATTTAAACCGGCGTAAAGCAAATTCGATCATATAATCTTCACCTGCTACATCTTCTCCAGGTCGACACCCAAACTCTAGATCACAAGGTAGTCGCATCTCGCGTCCAAATAGGACTTTGGCTGGTGTCTGGCCTGTTGATTCGTTAACTGCAGATCTGTAGGCCATTGCGAAGAACGGAAGATATTGGTCCCAGTCTCGCTGATGATCGGACATCATCTTTGTCAAATACTTGCCAACTGTCCTATTCATCCGTTTTACCATACCATCCGATTGCGGATTATATGCTGTAGTTCTTGTTTTCTTCATGCCTAGTCTATCACATATACCTTGGAATAGATCGCTTTCGAAGTTCCTGCCTTGGTCACTATGGATCTGCAAAAGCACTCCAAATCGGCTGATATATTCTTGGATCAACTTATCTGCAACGGTGGCATCTTTTTGGCCTGGAAGTGCGTAAATCTCGACCCACTTAGCGAAGTAATCCATTATTACCAACATGTACTTGCCTCCATTTTCACTTGCTGGAAATGGCCTAGCAATGCCCAAAGCTATTGTTTCAAACGGGCTTCCCACATTATATTGTCTCATATCAGCTCTTCATTTTCGGTAAGGCCGGTAACTCGTAGCACAAATAGTACATATCTTACACCAGTCTTTTACGTCGCCAGAACTGTCCATCCAATAAAACCGTTCCTGAATTCGCTGAAGGGTCTTCTTTACACCAAAATGCCCTCCTGATGGACTGTCGTGTAACTGACGAAGTAATTCAGCTATTTTGCTCTTTGGGATCACCAACTGTCTTTTCTTCTCTGAACCGTCATCATTTTCCAGGACTCGTTTGAGCAAGCCATATTCCATGATAAATGAGTCCCACTGAGCTCGATACGCTTTAACTACTGAGCATAGGTTTGATTTTTCTTGTCAAGGTGGTCGACGGTTTTCCTCTTTAAATTATCGGATTTTCTGTATAACTGGATCTCTCTCTTGTTCTTCTCTTATCTTAGTAGGCGTCCAGTCGTCGTTCACCATCGTCGTTGTTAACACTGCTGCTTCCTTGGATTCTGTTTTGTTGCAGTGGGAACACTCTGTTAGACATGGCCTTCTAGAAAGAGAATCGGCATTTCGTGGCTAACTCCGGCCCGGTGCTCAATCTTGAAATTGTATTCTTGGAGTCGTTCGATCCACCTGGCTATCTGATCCTCTGGATTCTTAAACTGCATCAACCACTTAAGGGCAGCATGATTGGTTCGGATTAAAAACTTT